GCTCACATCACCTAAGACAAAATACATATATATATATATATATATATATATATATATATGGCGCGCACAGAGTTATCCGTGCCAGATATCCAGTTCAAAATGGTACTTGTCCTAAAGTGATATTTTCTGAAATGAAGTTGCTTTTGATGCAACTGTTTGGCAAGAGTTTGGTCAACGTTTGTTCCGTTCAAGTTTTAAGGAAAGTGGCTGGTTCGTACTGGTTTAAAATGCTCTGGTATTCATCAGGTAAGCTCAGTTACCGAATTCCGATCAGCATCATTTTTGTACTTGAACATTTCGGTGGACATACGTGAATCCAAACGTTCACACACGTACTAGGTTGGCGCCAGCTGGATACTCAATTGGGGCCATCTTTCATTTGGATAGGTTATGCATCTGGTTAAAGCCATACCAATTTGCAAATGAGTGCTCATCTCCACAAATGTTCGGTGTGATGTTTAGGTAGGGAATAGGGTTGATGGAAATTCCTTTACTTCTAATTGATGGGCCTCCAAAGGACGGAATGGCAGTGGGCAATCAAACAGTTTTCCTACCCGTTTGGATTCATGGGACTCAATCGAACCAACCAGGGGGAGCAGGAGCTCCAGAGTGGACGAAATTAGCCACGGAAGTGTGAATTTCGTTTCAGTGTATGCCATGCTTGTTTCACTTAAATTTTGTTCTCCCAAAACCTTAGGTCATAATTTTTGCTGCTTCTCAATTACAAAGATGTTGCCACGGATAAGAGGTTTTCCCTCGATTCTGCACCTGTGAATGCGTAATGTGCTTCGAAAACCACCGGTTCTACTGTGTCACTGTAGGAACACGCTCACGTACGCTCGTCAACCTCGATTGGGTGTTCGTACGTCGTAGACATATGAGGCTAATACAAGTTTTCTTACTGCAACATATGCCGGCATTTATCTGCCGAGACCATCGTAAAATATTATCATTTCATGTTCTTAGTTGCTCTAACATCCAACACAGAACGGGGTTCACAGATGTCATGGAAATCAATTACAAAACAAAGGAGAGACTTGGAGAACGAGTACACAACTAGGTGAAAAACCAATTATACTCTGTTAAATCTTCATACCTAAGAAGACAGTGACATATCGTTGTATTCTGCTTCCCAATCGGTATTTTCTATGGTAGTTTGCCCGTTTTTCTCGAATCCAACTTTCCGACCAGCTCAGAACATTCGGATTACCAAGACCAATAAGCGGTACTGTGACTCATTTAAGGGGAACGCGTCAGGCACACTGATACCTGACCTACGTCGGCTTTCTACAACAAAACTCGATCGATGTTACTCATGAAAACAGCTTACGGAAGGGACATGAAATGAACAATGAAAATAACGGTATTTGACAGTCTTTGTACTGGATGCTCTAATGTGTTTGTATAGACGACCAATTGGCTGCTGGTCAGCATATCTAACCAACGGTTAGGGACCGTAGAACCAAGTGTGTACGCGCGTTATGTTTTCTCTCACGGAACCAAGAAACCAAGTTGACAAGTGAATTGCGCTACACTCTCCCTGTAATCGATTATTTCGTGTCTCGTACCTAGCACTTTTTAGATCTCAATTAGACATGAGTGATTCTGGCTCATCGCTTGGATTAGAGGTCAGTTCTTAAGTGATTTGTGCATAGATAGCTTATGTGATACGCGATGACACACTAGCGGTCTACGAACTCATCTACATATCAGTTTGGTTTTGACGGAAGACCCACCTGAAGCCAAGCTGCATCTATCAGTTACGTTCTTAAGCAACTCTTAAACTACTCCACCTCTCGGTTGGTACGATAATAAAGGCATCGCAATAAGTGAAACATGAAGCGGCCTGGCGCATTACATCAGAAATTCAGCACTTCATATTATCATGAAGGAGGGATTCAGCTGGGTTCGAGGTAAGTCTGCTGTCAAAACCAGTTGGTATGCAGATGAGCGTATGATTCAAATTTTGTGCAGTTTGGGTTCAAGTAGGACAGAGCGTTGGCGGAGGATCAGAAACTGCGCCTACCCGATAAGCCCCAAGAAGGGTGAAGGTGGTCGTGGGCTGTCAGCAACCTTATGAGTAGTGTAATACGTCCATAGCAGCAATTGAGCTTGCATGCGTTCTGTCTATTAGGTAAAATTCTTGTACGAAAGAATTCCCAAAGCGGCTTGCTAGAAACCGGACAGCCAACAAAGCGAATATGAAAACCACTTGTCTCTCAGACAGTCGATATACCAGATATCACTTTCCCCACTAGGCATCAGGCTTCAACTCTATTTCGTCATTACATCCGGAGCAACCGAAAAAGACTACTTTACGATGACACTCGTATTTGCTATATGGATAAAGTGTTCTGTGCAGGAAAAGTAAATAAAACGGCCGACTAAGGGATTCTGAAAACCTACCCGCTCTTTGAAATGAGACATATCAACCGATGTAAAGTTAACTGAAAGTTTATCATCTGAGAAACAGCAGCGTAGTTATGAATCGCAGATATATCTTCACAAAAAGGTTTTGTTGTTGAGATTCTCCTGTGGAATCGACTACCTGCTGGCTAAAATAAAACTGTCTGTTAAAGACGGTGAACGCAGCACAGGCGTCGTCCTAGGTAGGGCACCTGATTTCAAATCATGGATTTCTGTAGATACTAAATGTATGAGACACGAGTGAGGGTCTAGTTAAACGAACATTTTATTTATTCCAATGGCGTAACGGATGTATGAACTATCTCAGATTTTTCGGTGCTTAGCCATGAGGTAAAGTAGGAAAACTATGCATCATCATCAACATCCATATGCAGCATGTATGAAATGGCAAGCGAAGATATTGTCATATACGTGCGCGGCTTTCCAGAACACAGCTTCTATTGAAATCAAACT